TTTATTTGCCAAAGGCAAGTAGAAAGTCCTCACCCAATACAGTCAAAAGGATTTCATAAAAGAAAGACACTCGGTACAGGATGAGCTTCCACAGCATAAAGGGATCTTCCTCATCTTAGAGCAGCACTCTGCTGCCAAGGATATTCTTTACCTTCCTAAAAAGCAATTTCACTTGCAAACAGCCCAGTAGTTTGTCAGACAGAATGCAGTCTGGACTACATTAAGAAAAATTCTGGAGTCCGAAAAATGTGAGAGTTTGCATATATTTTGCAGCAAACATTACTAGAAAGCCTACATACTTTATCCAGTTTTAGTAGAAAACAAACCTATTAATTCTTTATAGTTTCCTTAAAGCCAGTACATATCCAAGGCCAGGTTTTCTACTCTGCTTTGAGAAGATGCTGGGCAGCTGAAAATATTTATCAAAGGAACGTGACTGGAAGGAAACCACTCGGTCCACCCCGTTTGAATTTAACACTACTTAAACTCATACCACTGTGTAAACATTTTCTGGGAAACTCTTCTTGAGCAACACTGGTTTATCTGTTGGAAATAATCTTCTAATTATTTTACATGGCATTTCTTATCCAGTTAAACAAATACTGGTTTTAACTGGTATAATTTTTCTAACTTGGCACTGCTTCTCACCTGATGCACTTATGGTAAACCAACATACTGCCCACTCAGTTATTAAGTTGTTATTGTTTCCTGTTGTTAAGGAAACTTGTACCTGACTGTCATTGGCATTACCAGTCTTGAGTTCTTCTCTGTCTGTTCCTGTAGCTCCTAGAGTGCTCTTGCTCACACACACATTATTGTTCCAAACAAATAATTACTTATTGCCCTGCACTGGCACCAGTGCTCTGTGAAACTTCTCTAAGCACAGAGGAAGGAATCCTGGCTGCTCCTCATCAGAATGGCTAAATTACTGCAATATTGGAGAATGGCTTTAAATGTTAGAAACATGTCTGGGTTGTTTCTGATAATTATAGTGAGTGGAATGTAGCTATTCTCTATGGTAACATATTCAATGCACCTGAAAGTCCTGTAGAACTGCAGAAGAAAGGTCACATCTCAAAACCCAACAAAATATTAGTATCTTATGAGATATTAAATGTACAAGTTGCTGAGATTCTTCTCTGAAAAGAAATGATCAGAAAGTATTTAACTTACATATCAGTATAAAGGAGAGTACGTAAAGAAGAAGGGTAATGTTTTGTACTGTGCTTTGGGTTTGTGCCTCAGTGTTGACAACACACCAGCTTTTTGGGTACTGCTGAGCAGTACTTGCACAGCCCCAAGGCTTTTTCTTTTTCCCACTCTGCCCCCTCAGCAAGTGGCCTGGGCATGTGCAAGGAGCTGGGAGGGGGCACAGCCAGGACAGCCCACCCAGAACGACCAAAGGGATATTCCATGCCATTAGAAATGTCATGCTCAGCAATAAAAACTGGGGAAAGGAGGAGGAAGAGGGGACGTTTGGGGTCACGGTGTTTCCCTTGCCGAGGAAGCACTACACATGATGAAGTTCTGCTTTCCAGGAAGTGGCTGGACATCTGCCTGCCGATGGGAAGCACTGAATTAATTCCTTCTTTTGCTCTGCTTGGGCGTGCAGCTTTGCTTCCCTTATTAACCTGCCTTTATCTGAACCCATGAGTTCTCAGTTTTGCTCTTCCAGCTTCTCTCCCATCCCTTTGTTGGGGGAGCGAGCAACCAGCTATATGGACACTTAGCTGCTGGCCAGGGTCAACTCACCACAGTCACTAAAATATTTTCAAGTGTGATAATACGCAGAGGTAGTACCCAGATAGTTAAAAAGAAGAGATCATAGTTAACACAATAAACTGCAGAAACAGTTTCAACATGCTGATTTAGCCAGACAATAACAATTTTTCCTTTATGAGCAGGACAGTGATTAAAAGATGATATACTTATGAATTAAATAACAAATAAAAGCATGTGGTCTTCTTGTCTTACTATATGTATTAGAGGTAAGGGAACTCCCATTTGCTACTGAAATATCTAAGGATGTACAAGTGAGTGCCAAGACTTGAAAAAGCAGCATGTATCTGTGTAAATATGTGTAAATATGCAGGATATTTTTTGAAACTCAATTTGGGTAAATCGAGTACTATAAATTAGCTGAATGCCAATGGGATTATTATTAAAAGATATTATTTTGAGTATAAAGGAAAAGTATGCATTAACTTTTATTCTTGCAGCTCAAACTGTATGTAAACAAATAGAATCAGAAGTAAAACTAGAAAGGAAAGGAATCCATCTATATATCCCTTTTCTTCTTGTAAGGAAAATTACTTTACAGTTTTTAAAGGTACGAATTGTAAATAGGGATGAACATTAAGTTTTCTATGTCACTGCTTACCACTCAAATTTAATAGGCTTTTCCCAATAATGTTCTATATTTGATAACCTTGAAATAAAATAATATCAGTAACCATCCACATCTTTAATTTGAAAAATTTCCTAAACACCTTTACTTTGATGATCATAGGAATGCGTGGATTAGATTCACACGCTTATGTGGAGCCAACGATGAGTAGTACACAATTCATTCCCTTTTTAACCAGTCCTAAAAGCCTTTTACTTTCCCCTAACCACCAACCAATTAATTTGCCTACCACTTGCTGGCTCTGGGACAATGCTCCCATAACCCCCTCCCACCTAACTCAGACATTAACTAGGTTAGGGGAGCATTTCCCTTGTAAATGTGTCCCCTAAGCATTTTTACTTTTTTTCCCACCAAAGAGAGAGCAGAGTATTCTTTATTTTACCTTGTATGCAATAGACAGTATTTCTCTTTAAATATGAAAAAAGGGAAATAGACTGCAACATCACTTTGAACAGGTAAAAATATTTCTGTCTGCACAGAAGTAGCTGATAAGGGAAATCTTTAACATGTATTAAAGAAAGGAGTTTTAAAAGTATTATGGCACTCCACTTTATAAACTGATGCTTCAGACTCTTTTCAAGTACTGCCCTTAGCTTTGTTTAACTCATCTCAGGTGGCAGATAGCAGAAACAGAACAGGTCCATCATAAAAAGGAGGTCAAAATAATCAAACACCCATTCAGCTGGAACCTCAACTTCTGAGCACAGGCAAGGCTCAGATTTACGCAATTTTAGGAAGGAGTATGAAGAATCACCTAAAGATAAGGCTCACTTGAGTCATTGCAGTTTACTTGAGTAGCCATGAGAGCAGCTGTGATTGGCCTAGCCAGCTGGAAAACAGGAGCAGATATACTTTAGCTATGCTAAAAATTAAGTCACATAAAGACAAGCTGTGTTGGAGATGCTCGTCGCTACGGTAGATATTGGATTAACAATTCTACTTAATGATCACAATGGGTTTAAAAGATCTGTTGGTCTGTAAAGTAGAGTGGTTTAAATAATAAATCCACGAGCTAATAACTAATGGCTTGCATAATGTCACTTCTAGATGAGAATTTCCATATCATGTAGAAGGGCAATGAGTGGAGACATTTTCAAATTAGGAAGGATGACAACAATTAGGGCACTTATTTAATAAAAAAAAAAAGATGCAACCATAGATGATATGACAAAGTCATGAAATACAGAGAAGGACAAAGAAGGTATATACCTGACTTCTTTCTAAACTCTATAAAGAGATCAAAAGAAAAATGAAATGTGTTACAAGGTATCAGAGAAGATGAAATGTCCACAGAAAATGTTCCCTCTGCACATCACAGCAGTCTTCTCTGCTCCCTTTGGCTCATATTGAAGACATCAACATGAAGGTGATGGAAGTTCAACAACCAGCTTGAGTCTAAGACTTTCTATTAGAATCTCTTTTAAAACCGGCAAACTCCTCCATTTTTAATGAAGGACAAGTGTTAGCAATCAGCAGGACAACTATCAAAGAAAAAAGAAATTTAGTACTGAATTGTCTCTGTCACTTAACATAAAAATGACACTACTAGTACAGACCAAAAAATCCATGAAGTCCCATATTTTGTCTGGTAGTGAGTAACAGAGGACATCAAGAGGATAAATCAATGGCACATTTTCACCAGCATCATTTTTTGTGCAATTGCATTAAAATTTTTGAAAAATAAAAATTTGGGTGGGGAAAGAATCATAGCAAAATTAAGAAAGAAGACCAGAGACAGACTGTACAAGTATTTTGTATATGAAATGAAGGAAGAATTAAATGTTTAAGACTAGGTGCTAGTGATAAATTAAGAAAATGGCATAAAAAACACAGGAACATTTTTGACATGCAAATTCATATATTTTTAAATTATCACCCTAGTTTCTAAATAGAGAAACAGTTACCTTTAAAAGATGAATGATACAACCATATGAGATATCATCAGGACAATTCAGAATTAAAAAGGGAATGTTCGTTGCAACATGCACACAAGGATATAAGTGGCAAATATTTTAGAAAAATACCCATTTTTCCACCTACAATTTTCTAAATTTAACAAATTGCTATTTCTGAATTTAACAAGTATCAATCCTGTATTAAATATACCTGTTTATTAATTAAGCAGTTAAATTTTACAAGTAAAAAAGTCTTAACATATTAAAATAAGTTCCATTAGTTAAAAACTATTAAGGAAACTCTATTTCTAGCTACACTTGTCATGCTCCCAACTAAATTTAATTCATTGCAACTTGAGTAAAGAGCCCCTAAGTTCTGTGCTATACAGCTGAAATCTCCCTGAGCGGCATAGTTTGCAAAAGTTACTTTACTTTCTTTTTAAAGCATTATTTAAGGGCAGTATCAACATATATTCAGGTCTCAGACAGAAAGAAAATACTAAGTTCCTCAAAATAGGAATTGAAAACCATCTTTGTATGGATCAAATACACTAGACAGTAAGTATCTCAATTTCAAAACTGCATATTTAAAGAGAAACATATAATTTATTTTATAAATTTCACCAGTAAAATCTTTGTGTAATGACTATTATAAAGTAAAATAGACAACAGGCAAGTTCAATTGTTTGCCAAAATTCCTACCTGTGTGCCAGCAGCACCCTGAAGGTCATCTGATTCACTCCCAAGTAACTTGGCAGCAACTTTGACCAATCCCAGTTCCATTCAGTAATGGTTGACTGTTGATACATGGCAAGAAGCTATTGTTAGTTATTAATCAGTGTTAATATGATCAGTAAATTAAAGCTCCAGCTGTGATATACTAACCAAGAAGGAGGGGGGTCTAGAACAAGGACTTAGACAGATGATATCAATCATGTCCACAGAAGAAGGTTTTTATTCCAATAAGACAGCAATTAATTTATAAATCCATTTAGGGATGTAGCCATTATTTATAAAAAGATAAATCAATTTTTTGAACCGTTATTCTTCCAACTGTTAATGGCATTCTGCCCAACCACTTTGTCTGAGAGCTTGACTCTTTGTTTGAAAAGGAAAATAATTGGCAACTCTTTAGGTAACAGCAATTTACATTTTCTGATGTCAGCAAAAAGTTAGTAATGAAAAACTTGGTATAGCTGCAATTCAAGATGTAACCTGTATCATAATTAGAGTGATGGTTTACTTGTCTATTGTTTTATAAGGCATTCCAGTCACCAGATGGTTATTATAAACAACAGTAAATCTAGACAATATGAACAAATATAACTCCATATTGCTTATTTAATAAATAAAAGCGATCTACAATAATGGTGGGCAGACAAAAGACCACACACAACATTCTTATGTTTACAAAACAGTAACTCCTGTTGCATAATAATTTTCATTGCCAGTAATGGTCATGTAGTGACTACAATACAACATTCTTGGGAGGAAAGTACTAAAAAAATATTGTTGCAAGAGTAAAATAGTACTGAGTTGGTTTGGTTTTTTTTTTTAAAAAAAAAGATTAATTAAGTAAAAAAAAGGTAAATAAACCTAAATAAGAAAAGTAAAGTTTATCTCACAGTGCATCTTTTTCTTCTTACACACAGTACTTGGTTCTTCTGGGAAAGCAAAATCGGTGCAATTCTTCCCTTTCCTTCCATCTTTATTTTATTCTCTTCCTTCTTTTAATTTAATTTTCTCCCTAACCCTCATCTTTGTATGCAGTCAGAAGTAACATAGGAAAATAAGGTGAAATACGGAGTAAGAAAAGGAGACAAGGGTAGCCAAAGAAAGAAGATAGTGTGAAAGTGAAAAGCCAATGAAGAAGTAACAGTGAATATGTGATAAGAAAAGAAGGAAAAAAAGAGTCAACTGAGAGAACAGTGGGACAAACACACAGGAGGAAACATACAACTGTTCTATACTCTACACTGATTTAAAAATAGATGAATAAATATGGAGGAAGTACTTGTAAAATTAAGAGGGATAAAAAGAAGCTAAACAGCTAGTAGCAACAGTCATAAAAACAAATGTGAAAATTTGTAAGTATACTGATAAAAATTCAGCCCACCACACCGATCAGTTCTGTGAAAAAATAAAGGATCAATCTGAAAAAAAGTCACTTCAGGAAAGGAAAATTATTTATTTGTAGCATTTTTCTTCATTGATACTGTTGAGGAGTTACATAGCCTCGACTTAATCTTATTAGACAATAGAGGAGCAGCAGCACTGGCATAGATTGAGGTGTCAGGATAAATTGATAAAATCAAGAGCAACAAGTTACTAGGACCAGATGGTGATTATTCAAGATTTTTACAGAAATGTTAAGAACAAAGTGGCTGCATTGTTAACAGAAATGATACACTTCCTAGAATCAGCTACTGAACTAGAAGGTAAGAAATTTGCATATCATTAATAAAAATACTAGAGCTGATCTCAAAATAGTGGTTCAGTGGCCTTTGTTTCAGAAGCAATAAAATTTGTTGAAATTATTATTAAGTATCTTGCTAAATTTTATATGATAGGGGAAAATTAGCAAAACTTCAGAAGAGAAAAGTCTACCACCATAATGTACTGCAATTTTTACATATATACCTATATATATATGGTGTATATATATACATATATACCAACAAACAATGCATGGAATGTTTACTACCAATTATCTTTCAGAAATCTTTTGAAATAATTTATTTTAAGATAACCTCTATTGAGGAAGCTAAAAGCATGTCAACACTGTGTAGCATGGATATGCTTTTATGCTATATTATATTATTATATATTATAGTATGTTATATAGCATACTGTAACACAAACTTCCTCTGTTTAGAGCTGAATCAGCTCTCTGGACTCACAAGCAGTATTGCTATGACTATTTCAATTGGCTCTTCTGAGAGAAAAGTTTTAAAAAGCAATACATAATTAACACATTGACAAAATATGTTGTGAAACCAGTAGCTTGTTGGAACTTGGAATTATAAAAGGATAAAATGTTAATTGCTGTATTAAAAACATATCTCGTTACAAAAGATTTAAAGCAAATCAATAAATCAGTCATGGATTATAAACTTCTAAGCTTCATGGCAGTTGCCAACCAGTAAGGAATGAATTTAAGAAAAATATCTTTTGAGAAGAATAATTGTTCCTTGCCAGCGCTTTGGTATCTTCTGCAGGCACTGCTAATAGTCTTTATAGGAAAGCAGACACTGAGATATACTGACCACTATTCTATAAACAGACAGTCCTACACCACTAAATAAATGTGCATTTTTATGGTAAAGGGAACTAAATTATTTAATAATATTATTAAGCTCAGGAAATAAGTCTGACTCTGTCAACAACACAGTTGGCACACGGTACTTCAAGGTCCATGAACTACTCTTTTTTTTCCTTTTAATTTTAAGATACTTTTCCATATTCAGGTAATAGACTTTATGCCAAAAGTTTACAAAATCCAAAGCAATTTAATATGAACTATCCCTTGTCATCTGTTGATTAATAGAGCACTGCAAACCTGTCATTTAGCAGAATAATTCTTCCCTGAGTTGTCACTACTTGAAGGTCTTATTCTACCACACTATTAATGAATCGAGAATTGAGGCATGGTAAACTATTCTCTGCATTTCAAATTGGAGTAAGTGATTCTGTAGCCCCTTAAATTTTATCAATTTAAGATATACATAAAGGGACTAGTGGATGGAAAACAAAGATACTTTTAAAGCATGTTCCTCTAGAGTGAGAAGCCTTGTGAAATTGGTATTAATGTCTTTTTTCAGGATATTAACACTTCTACTGCAACATGACAAAGATTTAAGCATTCCTTAAACAACTACTAAGGGAAAAAAAAACAAAACAACAAAACAACAAACCAAAATGCAAACCAGATGTATTTTACAGCAATAGGCCTGGTGAAATAGTTCAAAATTCTCAAAAAGGGGAAAGAAGAGTACACTATTTAAAAGCACAGGTGTACAGGAAAAAGGATGTTTTTTCTACCACAGGTTTGTAAAGTGAATTCCATGCCACTGTAATATAATTTCATTTTAAATATTTGAAAGTGAGGAGTAGAATCAAAACTGTAGATGATGGATTAGGAAGACCCAAGAAATGATGGTGTTCAAGTGCTACCAGAAACTACACACCACACCATTCTGTGTAATGATTTGGTCACGTGGCACTCTAGCAGAGGTTTAGGTAACTAGATCTATTTTATTTAATTGTTACATTGTCAAGAAACTATTTTCTATACGTAAATTGTAATTTTTTACACATCACTAACATGGCTTAATGAAAAGCAGATAAATGGGTGCTTTCATTTTTTTTTGTATTTTTTTCCCCTGCTTATTCTCGCTGTTCTGTTAAATCTCTGTATTTCCAAAGCATCCTTTACTTTACTGTTCAACATTTCTGTGAAAGACTCATCAGGAAGATTCTAAATGTGCACTTGGAGTTTTGCCATGATTTTTCAAAGGACTAAGACTAGCTCTATGTACCATTACACAGATGTAATAAATGTCATTGCTACTAATGAGCTTTCCTTCACTATACTGAACTAACACAGAAAGTCTAAGTAAATGCAAATTGCTCTTACATGCAATAATTCTGATAAAAGAAAAGGACAATAATGGCTTTTTGAACATCATGCTATTGTAGAGGGTGCCCTCATTAGATTCCTGAGTAATAATATTCCTTTGCACTTCATCAAATGTGAACGCATGTAATTAATTCCGTTTTCATAATTTCAGTCTCTGTCATTATCATGATCATAATAAGATCGACAAGTAAAAATTATAATATAACCAAGGTTTCAGAATTTTACAAACCTGATTGAACACTTTTGCACAAGATTGTCTGTACACTTGGAACGGGTTGAAGACAGGCTGCTCTTCTCTGCCCTTCAGTGTCAAAGGCAAGCACTGACTGAGGGTAACATCATCTTCAGAAGAATTCTCACAAGACAGCTGCTCTCTCAAATATTCCTTTTAGAAGAAAAAAACCCAAACAAACACAAAACAGTATATAGCACCTAGCTTTCTAAGTGAAATTTGCCTAAATTTCGAGAATAACTTTACAGTGTGCTTGATAGAAGTACCTTATATTAAAGGAGAGAATAAGTAATCTCTTGAAAAATAGAAATATTTTAAAGAGTAACACCATTTTACAATAAACAATAAATAACCTCCATGAACATCCATCCAACTGAAGCAAATCAGAATGATCTAAGCTTTTCTTTTGAAACTGTCATCAAATTATGTGTATCAGTTCTCATTTAATATATATATGTAAGGTATATGCCAAAGTGAAAAGTAAACATTTACTATGAGCTGTTCTATTGTATGATGACTATTACACGATTTATTTTACATGATAAAGCATACCTAAATATTTAAAGTTATTTTTTGGGCAGCATTAAATAGTTAATACATGACTATAAATCAATTGTTTGAAGAACATGTTCAAATCAGTTGTTTAAACACAGGAAATAAATATTCTCCCACTCTTCAAAGCTATTTATAATTGTTTAAGCATTCAAAGACTAGAAGTCATTTATGATTTACATGGCAATTTTAGAAACTATACTGTAACAGACGCACGATCATTTTGGCCACAATCTTCTCTGTTTTCACTTCTTAAACTACTATGTAAATAAATCATCATTGCATGCCAATAAAGTGTTTTGATTAAATAGAACCATTTTATGAAGAGCTAGATAATGAAACACTTACAGATCTATTTGCTGGAAGGACCACTGTGATTAAACAGTTTATTGTTATTAAAATGAAGTCCATAATGATAGGATTGCCATAACATTGAGCAAGCACTCAAGGTGAGTCTTCATTAAGATGGGTGGATGCAAATACTCCTCTTACTTTGCAGTACTACTGAGATAATAAAAATTTCCAGATGCAGGTGAGGGACCCTGTGGTCCTCAGCAGGTCTTTCTAAAAGAATAATTTAATCATGGGTTTAAAATGATCCAACTGTGGTCTGGCCTGAAAGGCACAAGTTCCCTCCCAATCCACATAGACTGTAGCTGTTTATCCCTTGTGTTGGCACTAGCATATGTTGTGAAATCAGCCAGAAAAAAAAGAAAGGTTTCAGCCAGATAAACGAGCCACACGATTTCTTGTACTAGTGAAAAGGGGGGCCGAGGAGTGGGAAAGCACCAGGGCTCGAGAAAGAGCAGGACTGTCTCTCTCTCTGGTCACAGCCAATTGTCAGGACTTCCTAAGACAATCAGGAAATCATCCAAGGGTATTTAAAAAAATAAAAGAGTCAAACCTTTTTTGCTTTCAGACAACAGTGTACTCCAGCTGTTAAAACACACCCATATTTTCTCAGTCTACGAAAACATCTGGGTTTTTTTCCCCCTATTCATTCATGACTTCATACCATAACAAAGACTTTAAAGTCATGGTGAAGGGGGTTATTTAAATGCTACTCCTATACATTTACCAATTTTTTGTAAATGTACTGACTTCCATGCACACATTTTCACAAAATCTGTAGACTGCTCTAAAGCAACGGAGCCTTCTGGGTGTCACAGAGCCAGCAGAAGCAGATTCTGTTGGTTTTTCAGTAGAGATACTGGAAATCACTGTCCGTGTTTGCTAGGGTTTGAACATTTTGAGTAGTATACAGCTCATCTCCAAGTAGAGGAGTTTTTCTGTATTTGGAATACTGTGGATTTATGTTTTGACAAAAAGACTTAATCAACAATGGTAACCTAACTCTTTAGTATAGTGCATATTATAGACCCTGAAAGGGTTGTGTTTCAAAAATGTTAAAGGAAAGAGAAATTAAATCATGTTTGTAAACATGTGAGCTACATCCTTGCTAAAAATGACTGGGCATGAAATAGACACAATATTATTGAGCCTCATAGCTCACAGGAGTTGGTTTCTCTTTGGTAGCCATTAGTAAAAAATGTTTTTAAAAATTGTTATTGTTTTTGATAAATATATGAAGGACTGTAGGCTGCTTTGAGTTCTAGAGTATCTATTATAGATCTTTTTAACATCATAGCTCTATTTCCAAATACAGCCTCCAAGAATCTTTATCCCTTTTCCCCTCCTTTTCTAAGGAAAATTATTGAGAAAAACAATTTTCTGTCTCCTCATTTTGTTCTCTATTCACACTCAAATATTAAGCAGTGTAGCATAAAGATCTCCAGACAAATTTTAAGAACACGATCCTTTGATAATCCAAGGAGTCTCCAAACAAAAGGATGGACCATTGAACAGATACAATAATCAAATCTATTTCCTGGTAGTCAGGCACATTAAACATAACCTCAGTTATGAAAAATAATATTGAAAAGTGCATTATCATAATACCATGCTAAGCATTAAAATGCTTTGTAATGGTGTCAAAGGCAATTTGAAGTAACACAGTTAAGTCCTTCTGCGAGTCAAGCTGGTCAGGATTTTTTTTCTTCTTTAAAAAAAAAAAACAGTAAAGTTTTTTCCACCGAGAAATGTTCTATATTTAACAAAGCTCTTAGTAGCTACTGAAATTCAAGGATAGACACCTGGGATGTGGAAAGTCAGTCTGAAGTCCCTCTTCCACCTAATTCTCTCAGCCTCTTACCTCCTATTGGAGCTGTTCCACTTTGTATAAATAACCAAATACTCACAGGAGTTGGATCTTGGATCAGGGTCTCCAGAACCTGATACGGGCATTCTACCCCTTCAGCTAGAGTGTGATTCTATTTTTTGACCCTAGAAGTTACAGAATGGATTTTTACAGCAATTTCTACAAGGTGAAAAACCATCAATAGGGGAAAAGGACGGAGTTCCTTGCTGGTAGCTAATGGTCTAGCTGTTTGGGGAGTTAAGTTTGGATGTGGGAGATGCAGATTCAATTCTCTGGTCTAAACTAAGCAGAATAAAGATTTGAGCCTGCCTACCCTATCCCCTAGGTGACTGCCCTAACTACTGGATTATATGCTATTTTTGGAGGTCTTGCTCATCATCTTTTCCTCACTTCGTTATACTTAATCCTGAATGTGCTCCAGGTGAAAAAGGTTTTGTTTGAACTGTATTACAGTAATAATTTTCACTTCACATCCTGAACTATTTAATTGTTTGAGATGAAACTTGAAAAGATTCTGTATTGTATTAATATTAGGTTGCCATCTCTACATACCTGCTTACATTGCTTCTAAAGCTTCCAAATGCAGATGCATAAAGGTTGCTTTTTAAGCCTGTACTTAGGAACTAAATGGTTGATCTGACTTTTAAAAGCACAGTGCCAGTACTGAGCTGCTCTCATTTGCCTTCATATAGACATAGCTGCCTAATCTTTTTTTTTATTTATTTATTTATTAATTTTTTTTTTTTTTTTTAAAGAAAAATCTTGGCCTGTGCCTGTATTTGCCTTATTTTGCATTTTAATATAAACACTTCTGTACACTTGCAATGATCTTAACAGCACCTGCTTATGCATTCAAGGAATAGTAATTTAGTAATCACAGCTAATAAACAGAACTTTTTTAATTAAGCTGTGTAGATCTGTGTTATCATACAATTTAAGTAAACCTGTGTTTACTTCAGTGTATAAAATCAGAATGCTTTTGGTAACTTGGGGCAATTTAGTACCGCCTTAGAAATAATGAGATAATCCTTTTACACTGCCCAAATTCCACATGCAGCAAACAAATCTGAATTTGTTTACTGTAATTTCAAAAGCACTTCAACTGAACAGAGTTATCTAGATTGAGTAAAGTTTTCATGTGGATGCATTTGCTTCCACAGCACAGCCGTAGGGTTTGCTTGGTTGGGGTTTTTTTACATCAGAAGAATTGATTTACTGCATTTAATTTTACTTCCTGTAACATTCATTTTTTTAATAGCCTTGCTGATTTTTTTCTTTTTTTTTTTTTCTTTTTTTTTTTTTTACTGTGTTCAAACTCCTAAAATGTATCTGTGGTGTACAATACGAGTCTGAAAGCAGTTTATGAGCCATACTACTGTTTAAGTACATAAATAAAATCTACATTGTTTCCCATAAAGTAATCTCTTCTGTACAAATGCAGAAAAAGCCTAAACTGAATGGATTCTATTACAATACAATATAGGATTTCATATTGACTTTAAGAAGCATTATCACCTCCTTGACTAACCCTTAGCTGCCAGCAGACGCTGCCTCAGGCCAGTACACACCTAATTGCTCGGTAAAAAGGCCGTTTCCCTACCTCATTGAGCCGGATGATGTGATAAATTTGCCTCAGGTACTCGCTGCCACCTGGTTTGTGGCAGATATCCAGGACCATCATGTTTATTTTCTGCTCAGTGAATCCAAGTGCAATACCTCCTTCCTCTAACGTTGCACCTTCTACTGTCACTGAGGCGCTAGAATATAGAAAAGATACCAATATTCTCAAGTTTCATTTTCCAAAAAAATCAAAACATTGATACAAACTCAGCTAAAAATAGATGTTAAAAAAAACTTGCAAACATTTGGCTTGCATAAAACAAAAGCTGCTGTGTATACCGCTCTGAAACCTTTATACAAATACAGGATAAATGCTAAATGATGCTTTATTATTAGACAAATTTTAATGATTTTCATCCAAAAGATGAAAACATAAAACATTCTTTACTCTTAAGGACATGGAAAGAGGAAATTTTTTTTTTTTTAATTTTATTTTCCACTACATAAGTATCTTTGCTACTAGAAATGACATTTGCATTCGATCTTTTGTACATTTCTCTCTGCCTGTCGCTGCACATATTAAAGCCTAATTAACACGTCAGAAAGGTAGCCATTACTCTAAGTATAGGTTAGAAGATTAAACAGAAGTCTTTTTCTTCCCAGTGGTACAGTGGTAACCATTTCAAAGGTACCTATTTGCCACTTGTTGCACTTTTTGCTCTGTACTGCTCCTTGGTTTTTTTTTTTTTTCCTTAAAAGTATTTGTGTGAAGTTGCTACAAAAAAATATGAAGGTTACAGGCTCAAATGACTTGAAAAATGTGCATTGAAAACTGACCATTGTTAGACTGCTCTCTCTGCATACACACACGAGAAATCAGCTCGGTACTTGAGTAGTATTGTACATTGATACAGTGCTAAGAAAAGAAAAAGTACTAAAACTAATTGTTTTCCTCAAATATTAGAGCTGCAACACAGATCTCTGTTGGGACATTGACAGAGATGTGTCAAAAACTTGAAAGACCAACAGAATATATTATCCCTTCTGCAGTCATTGTTGGATTAATTTAAAATCCACAAAAGAAGCATTCTGATTTTTTTTAAAAAAGCAGTATTTTAATTTTTTTGAGAATTAAAACCATAAAAAACACAAAATACTTTGGTACAGTCAGCTGTAAGTTGCAGCTTACTGTTTAAAGCGTGCCATGACTACAAAGTCAGTTGTGCTGAAAGTTGCTGTTTGACCTACAGACACACTTTAAATGCTACACAGCTGCTGGACATTAAAGCCGATATTGCTTCCACATGCAGCTTTCAGAATGTCCTACAGAGCAAATAGTTTCAAAATATAAACTATAATTTTGTTCTTTGCTGTATGGAAGTAAGTGATACTCTGTTATTATGGTGTATTTTTACCAGAAAAGCTGCAAAGAAGTTGATCTTAAAATTAAAGCGCGTTTAAGGCTGCTCTCTCGATGGATGCCACGTTATCGATGCAACCTGAATTTCTTGTCAAACTTCTTAGCAACTGACATTGAAAAAGTTGAGGACCTCTGACAAAGGAGTGTATCGGTGTCAGTGCCCAAATTGTATCCTTTCCTGTCCGTCACTGTGCAGGTGAAGCAGATGATTGGATTCAGTCAGTGCGATGATTAATGAGTTCCTCTCTGGATTTGGGACTGCCTATCAATCATGTCATTAGGAAGAATGTGCCCTGAAAGAGGCAGACCTCAGCCAAGGAATAACTGCATTCATCTTAATCTGTATATGCACCCAGCCAGCCAAGTCAGGGTCACCATGATGAAAAACAATAATCTTCAACTCGACAAATTACTTTGCAAAGACAGACGTTTCTTTTCTTCTTGGGACGCGTGTTCTTCAGAATCTAACGTGACTGTTTACAGCTCTGGTGCTGCTATAAAGTGAAGGTTATTTTAATGAATAGTAATGCTTTCAGGCAGTACACAAGACAGGCAATGCATACAACTGCCACTTTCTGAACCTTTCACTGAAGATTTTATTAATTTTTTTAAATTTTCCTAAAAACTAAGTTACATTTGCATGCCACAGCTGATAACAATAACGTAACGCAAAATCAAGCAAGACTTTCACTTATAAAAATGCAGTGCACTTCAAAGATGTTTCCACAACTGCATAGGTAAATCACAAATAAATTTTTGGATGTTATGGCTTTTATTTTCTTCCACACACTGTATGTATTAAAAGTCTATAAACATTTATAAATATATATATATATACATATATACATAAATGCATGTGCATGCATTTACCCATGAAATCTTTTACTTATGAAAAGGTTATACAAAACATAATTTTACACCAACTTGCATTTTCACATATAAACAATCCTATTTCTAACAAATCACATAAACATCACAAGTCTCCTCTTGAAAGCTCTTCTTTTAGTTTAGTGTTTCTGTGACCATTACTTAGTTTAATTGACATTTGAATTTCAGCTTTAATATATTAGTTTTACAGTCTGCATTTATAATATTTTATCTTCACATTGCATATCTCAGCTACTTATTAACTAGACTATTTTCTTCCCAGAAACTGACTCATAATATTTTAATATAAAATGGGAAAAATAACATTGATGCTAGACTTGTGTTGTAGAAATCCCACTAAAGTCCAGAGACTTAGTTTCATAACCGCATCATGTAACTCCTCACTTGGACAGCAGATAATGCATTCTTCAGTTTCTGAAGCTTAAAATTGGGAGCCTTAGTCACCAACTAGTTCTCACTTTGGTTAACACTGTACACACACAGAATATTTTTCCATGCTCACTTCCCACAGTCTGATACTTGATGGATCATAACAGCATTTTTGTGCTATGTTAGAAAATAAAAGAGCATAGTATATTAATTTAAAATTCTTAGCTTCAGAAGAAGTGCAAAGACTAAAGTTTTCATTCTTAGAGGTTATTCACAGTATTGTCTTACTCTGCATTTGTATTATTAAAGAAATACCTATTATCTCAGTGACATTAGAAATTGTATTATAGAACCATTCTGTTAAGTATCAATTTACACATTATCATTATGGGTTTTTTATTCTATGACTCTTTCAGTCACTGGCATCTGGCTTCAATCTTTTAATCACTGGATTAGAGCTTGTAAATTAGTATTAAATGGAAATGTAAAGATTACAAAGGTCAATGTCAATGAGCATTTGTGTGACACTATTACTGCTTTGTGCTACTCATGTTAACTGACTACTCGTAGAAACAGAATTCTGTCCCTTAAAAGCACTGCATGGAAGTCTGTTCAGTGATATCACTATATCCTTTGTTTATATGGACAATTACTGTCAGGACAGCAATGCTGCAACCTTCAAGAATATTCATTTTAAAAAAGCAGTATTTCTTTCAGTAGTCAACAGTTTAATTCAGTAAGTAATGAAATGCCAATAAATCTAATATTGGAAAGCTGAGGAATAGTATTTTTAGAGAATGGTACCTGACTTGAACACTAAAACAGACTGGACTAGGAACACATTGACACATACACAACTCCTTGAAAAATCATTACAAGGATTTAAAACACTTGGACCTTAATGTCAAATCTGCAGGGAAGGTTGATATTTCCTCAGAAAGGCACAGCAGGGTACTCTCCTTGTCGTGTTTTGATATATCCTACTCGCCCTCAGGGTTTGTTATGTTTTAAGATGAAGTATGCTTACTTTTTAATCACAGATGAACACTGAAAGCTTTTCATAGTCCTTCTTAATTTAATCACCATAGCAAAATTAATTTATAAATACATTGTGGTGCCTTCTAGTCAGTGTACCTGTTCACACTCTGAAAGATGCACCGACTAAATTGTTCGTAAGTATGAAATCTCTAAGTAGTACGAAGACACCGTTCTGACGGAACAACCATGGTTTACTGTTTCAACCATGCAATTAAGCTGCAAAAATATGCTATAAAGCAACAAGTATTAAGAACTAATCCATTTCATATAAGATCACTGTTCATCTGTTTGTTTTTAAATTGAACAATAGCCATAAAGGTGCCAACAATCCAGCGAAATAAAGAGCAAGCAACAGCATTTGAAAAAATACGATGTTCTTACCAGTCTGTGCTCAATTTTCTTGCCTTCAGCAACTGGCTTTCAATCCAGTTTGGTCTTTGCTGTTCTATGCTTTGTATAACCTTCTGGGTCACTTGCTTAGGACCACTCTTCTGTTTTCCCATAATACTTTCTAAGCACACACGAACTAAACTGAGTTTTTCTTTGCTCCATCTGTCAAGTGTTGCACCTGTTAAACGTTCTGCAGTATTTCCATCCTCAAATATCCGACATATAATTACAATCAAGTTCCAGACAAGCAGACCAGCTTTCTTCAATTCAGCAAAGTTTCTTGACATTTTTCTCTCAGCCAGAAAAAAGAAGTACTTAATTGGGGGAGGCAAACATGCAATCACTGTAGGTAACTTGCTGATTACAATAGATACTGCCTGAGCTGCAAGCCTTGTGAAGCCTTAAAAAAAGAAAGAAAAGAAGATATGATTAACATTAACATTCCAGTTCTATCACAGCATGCTTCTGAATGTTGTATGATAATTTCTAACTTCCTTTTGTACTGAAAATGGGTAAAAAGCTTAAGTACTCAACACTGTAGCTTGACTTCTATTGTGCTTCCTCCACATAAATCCAACAAAATCTAAACAATAACAGGAATTAAAACCAGAGAACCTAGAAAATTTAGAATTTAGACTGTGCCTCTCTTAACAATTAGTCCTGCTGTGCACAGTTATTACAGAATAAATGAAAATTACAACAGCCAGGTATTCTGAATGGTAAAAAAGTTGTCTTCCAAACTGTAGTGTAATATTTTTTCAACTTCACGAGTAGAGCACTGCACTAAGTGTCTTGGGATATTACAGGTATTCATAATCTTTAGTTTTCTATCAATCCCTTTCTATGTTTAGATCTACAAAACTTCACTTTATTCACTTTCACATAAGCATGCACACTATATAGCACTGCATTGTAAACATTCCACATATTAAAAGTAGCTACAGAAGTAACTACAGAAAATATGTTGCTCAAAAACATTTTAAGGCATACCTAAAATGAAAAAAATATACCAAAAGGTGAGTTACAATACGGAGTCAAGTGAAGATTTAAGAAAAACAAAACAAAACAAAACCCAAACAAACCAAGAAAACCCTGACTTGCACTTTGTATTCTCAATTTTTTTTCTATTTAAAAAAAAAAAAAATTCTGTTCTAGGTGTCACATAGCAAATTTAATTTGTCACCATGTCTGAGCCTTACTCCTCAGCTCCCATATTAGTTCCGGCTTAGTGATAGCCTAAAATAGCCATACAAATTCTAGATTAAATTGAGATTGCAAGGAGAGTGCAGTGAGCACACTGATTGTGCCTGAAGATGCTGAAGAGAAGATATATGGAAAGAAAGAATGGCTTGATGCCCTGGCTTGCTCACAATCTACATTTTCAAAAATTCATGACAGAAAACACTACTACTGTACTGCAAAAAAAACCCCAGGTACTATTTTGGTGGCAACAAATTTATGGTGAAATGTTTCCCCAAATTAGCCTTTTGGAATAACAGAGGCTTTAGGCACAACAGGCTCTGAAAGTATACATGAGAAATCAACTTCACACCTTCAAAACACCTCCTATTACGTATGTTATTTCTCTTTCTTCAGTGACTGTTTCAACCACCAAGCTGTGGCACACTCCTGAACAGTTTCTGTGCTGTTCAGACATAAATTCCTGTGTTGTAAAGTTGGGATGAATAAACTGTTATCATTTCAGTCAACATTGTCTATCTAAATTTAAACAGTCCTGACTGAAAAGATGGTAACTAAAAGAAGAGCTGGTTACAGTCATTAAGACAAGAGCATGCTTTACCCTACCTTACTACTGCCATATGCCAAAAACATTTTCAGTACTATTATTACCCATACCACAATACTGAATATTTTAAAAAGCTTGTTTGTGTACACATGGGTGTAAGCCTCAAGAAAGAATAACGGATTTTTAACACAAAGTACTTTTAAAAAAACACAAGATGTTTGGAAATTGTTTTGTTCATTGTTAAACTGCAACACTCATCGCCTCTTAACTGTTCAATTTTGATATGCGCTCATTAAAGAGTTAACAAGCTTTTATGACAAATTTACAAAACAGTATAAATTTCACCCACATTTCCCGGATTCTTTTGTCTTCATTTCCCAAGGAGTGTAATTCCATTCCTTTGGAACTGTTTTCAGTAAACTTTCAGGAACTATTTGCTTGTGCTGGTACGTTCCATAGTTTTCTGTTGCCTCCCATGAACGCATCAAATAAATGATCTGCTTCACTATACCCTTGACTGAATTAATCAAAGTCAACTTCAAGCATCTGATAACCTCTGGCTCCGATTCACCACAACTGGAAACTTCAGAAGGAAGAATTATTAAATATTCAGTAAATTTAGTCATTTGTGTAAATCTGCTTCAGAAAGAAGTGTTTCAGAATTCTTATGGAAAGAAAACTAAAAACATTACGATTCATAAGAACTTAAACCTGTTGGTCTGTTACAAATTAAAGAAAGAGTATAAAGCAAAACATTGTAGCATCTTGAACCGTCTTAATACAGTACTGACAAAAAATACAGTTTATTTCCTTCATCCTCATTCTCCATCAACACATTTCTAAAACATTAATATAAGCTGACCTATGTCTTCCTTTTCAGTATGTTTAATTACTTGTTAGACATCAGTGAGGCAAACGGATATACCTGGCTTTTTCTACTTCCTTGTCTTGGTAGTATTAATGAAGTTGCATTCATTAGATATGCAAACCGTTAAGGAAACCGCAAAGGAAAATAGATATTTTGGCAACAAAAATGCATACAAATAATAGTCATCAGCAGAGACATAGCATGTTATCACACACTGTATGTTGAAAATAGACCATCCTAAACACAGTTATTGACATTACAACAAGCATCAATCTTCTCCCCATTCTTAACACCAGAGAGAATTGCAGTTTTCCTATTGCAATGGTGCAGCAGTTGTCAGGCAGAGTGCTGCAGGACGTATCAGAGATGTCTTTTGACATATTAGGTCCTTTGCTCATACTTTTGCTTGTCTGTACTTTTTGCTGATCTTGGTTTAACTCTTCTTTGTATGGCCTTTCTGGAAGCTTCTATACAAGATTTCTATATTTTTCTTCCTCTTAGATCTTAGACTTCTACTTTTTGCAATTCCATTTTTCTCTGAGGAATACCTGAGCACTTTTACCACCATTTTTTCCTATCCTGTGACATTGCTAATTCTATTTCCCCTCTCACACTCTCCCATTTTCTCCCCTTCTTTACTTTCAAGCTTTCCTGCATTTTAGCCATCATTTGCATCACTAGATCACCCTCCTAAACCTCACCTCTCTTTTCTTGTTGAATACTGTTTTTCCTTGGGGGCAGTGTTAGTTGCTATAATTGTGAGAGTGGTTCCCCCTCCCCATGGAAAATTAGGAGGCTGTCTGCCTGTTGACAGCAGAATCTATATGCCCATCAGACTATGTCTCCTTCAACAGCAGTCCTTCCTTTTCTTTTTCCATTCTCCTTTAATAGTTTCTTACTTTTAAATAGTGGTAAATGTCTGGAGATACTACATGCATGCATAGAGACAAAGAACCTGTATTGGTAGAGAGCTACAGAAACTATTACAGCTTGTTGGTAAGACATACACTTAAGGAAATCAGAATCCTGGTTAACCACACCACTCTGTAACCTCTGCTTTCTTCCAAATTTTCACCATTCCTACAGTGACCTGATTGCTCAAAACACTTCAATGAAACTGTAATTTTGAAGTAAGCCACCATCATTTCATCTGATTTATTAAAGTAAAAATAATATGCACTACGTGTCTGAAAACTGACAAGGTTTAACATCAGATTTTAAATACTTATTAATAAATTAAATACCTGTCATATTGTATAAGCAACTCCACAACTGCTCTTTTTCCATGTAGGTCTCAAAAGCAAGGCCAAGAGATTTGGGTGACAAAGTGCAGTAAGACAATACTGTGAAGACTGTTTCAATCAGAGTAGGGTGGTTTGTATTTATATGTTCTAAGAGAGAACTTTGTTCATCACGATTAAAAACTTCATTTCCTTAAAAATAAATAAAAACCACGGTTACAGTAATTTCCAAGTAATTCAAGTTCACAGTAATAGATATGGTCTATCAAAACAAACTGCAATCTGTATCTGAATAATATTTCAAACAATTATAATACTTAGAAATACTGAAATCTGATCTTCCTCTGCATAATGACATTTGACTGTCTTCCTGGATTATATGGAGCCATTAAAAAAAAAAAAAAAGACTCAAGCATGTTTACAAACTATAGAATTTGCTTATTTAATACAAAATGCACTCAGTACATACTTGAAATTTGATTATTTACTAAATATTAATCACAAGTAAATTGTACTACTTCTGTAGAATCACAGTAAAATATTATTACTGCTTAACTCCTCTAACCAATACATTAGTCGTGAAATAATAGAATTCTATTTAATAACATAAAATAAATAAACTAGCAGCTGCATACTCCCAAAAATGAGTTGGCTTTTTTTTCAGTATAAGATGAAACAGAAGAAATCAGTTCCTTAAACCAAAATCTCAGCCCTGCTAAGACACAGATACCTATGTTTTCTAAGATAACTATTGATTTTCATAGATTTGAGTGGTAACAACTTACATAACATGTATTTCTAAATGTTTTTCATAATCATTATAAAACATTCTGCCAGCTAAAGGATAATGATGTGTTTAAAAGCTCTGTTTGAACCAGTGCAACTCAGTGGCTTTAACCTGTGCTAATGTTAAAGACCTCAACTTCCCACATATTTCTGGAATATGCATTTGATGTTAACAAACGTAACAAATGACCAGAGCCAGAACCAATTAAACACTAGTAATTCAAATTTCTAGTTTGCAGAACTGCAAGTTTCTGTAAAACTGATTTAGATAAAATTACACTTGAAAAAGTTGTTGGTTTATGTCAGTTTGGTTGCCCATATCTTCAGCAACCTGTGCTAGCGAAAGATAGGGAGCCTAAATTTCCAGGCTGCATCTTTCTAGTGGTTCAACCAGCCTTCAGCATCTACCGTAGTGGAAAATTACTGCTTTCCACCCAGGTCGGAATGACTTGAGAATCTTGTAAAAATCAAAAATCTCATTTTACTCTCCTCTGAATTCCTACAATCTAATTCACACATTACTGTAAAACACTCAGCCTGGGTAGTGTTCAACCTTAATAGAAACAGCTCATAGGACATAGAAAGCTGAAAAACGAGACCAGTGATTTCATAACCAACAAGCTATATCTTTTCTTTTTTTTTTCTTTTTTTTTTTTTTCTTTTTTTTTATTTCCCCAAGGCTGGAGACAGATCAGGAATAAGAATTTTTTTTAGTCAGCCTTTTTTCCTATGAGTGGAGTGAGCTGGCATATTTTGCTAAGACACTTTCCAATGCCAGATGCTTCTGAGTGAAGAATCAAATCTATTCCATTAATTCACTCAAACCAGATATTGTCTAGTACAGCTACAAAAAAGAAAGAATGAAGAAAGCAGGAAAAGCAGTTCAAAAAGGAAAACCCAGAGGTATTAAAAGTGTAAGATGAAATTTTGAACTGAACTTTGATTACATAAGTATTTCTTTAAAAATTAATTTAACCAAATTCTAGGGAGGAGGGTTTGCTGAGATTTTAAATACTATGTAAACTGTCTTTGCAGAACAGGATGGGTAATTGCTTTGTTTAAAGGAGTTAATGACTTAAAATTAAGCTTAAACTTGCATATGATTGTGCCACATAGAAAGTTTGAGTCACAACTTATTAATAACTTTTCTAATCAACTTAGTGCTGCCATTAAATTTAGATAAATGGAAAGAAGTATAAAAGAATTCTGTAGGGGGTTATACATATTTCTTCTTCTAACTAGTGTATAATACAAGTCTTGTGCTTTTAAGCAAAGATCTTCAGAAATCCACTGGGAAACCATTCTGAGGCTAAACATAACAAGATATGTATGCTTTCATCAGTTTTTTCTTCTTTTACCCTGAAGTAAATGTTGCCTTTATTGTAAGAATATTTGACCCTTCAAAGCTCAAGTTGAAATGCAACATCTCTGAGTTTTCTGACTGATAAACTGGTTATAAATAATGTCAGCTGGTTGAAAGGTTTAGCTACTTGATCAGTATAGCTGGTTAAATATTATGAATTAGGAGTCTACAGAAAGATATGTAGATTTCTCTTGCCTTAGAATTTTTCTTTAACATTTATTAGCTCACCTGTCATAACATTAAATATTCATCTTAGTTCGAACTCCAATGCAGCCTTCTTGTTAATCATCACATAAGAACAGTATTTATATGATAGGCATCACACTTATTGCCCACAGATACTTCCCTCTGTATATTTTCCTTTTTTCTGCTCACTGCATTTGTATATCAAAAGCTAATCTATGAAGGGAATCTAAAGCTCCTATAGGTAGCTCAAAGGAGATGCTTCCTTTTCATTTTACCAGGACTGATATCCATACACAAATATGGCTATATACTTATCTTAGGTATCTGTTAAAATAAAATCTACTATTTGTTATCTCCATATAGCACAACGTTCCATAGGCACAGAGGATGCCAAAATAAATAAAAATATTATTAATGTTATTAATAAATCTCTTTATAAGAAAATCATTTATCTAGTGAATAGCAGCTATGCCTTAACCAGTCACAAGAAATCATTCTTTCTATGACAAAATAATGCACTTAACCTCTTGGGATAGTACCGTGTATTTTAAAAACATCTTCAGAGAGGCAGACTTACAAATGTAATTTATCCATATTTCTTTCTTACTGATAGAAATACCTCCTAGTAACTTGCTGACTTTATCACACCCATCCAGCTCTTATCTGCTACTGGTTTAGCCATGAAATGAATCTTACTGAATTTAGAAAATCTTCTGTTATTGACTCTAGAATTCTTCCCTGGTGTATCCTTCCAAGACAGACAAACTATAAACAGTTACGCTGTCTTTTTTGACCAAAAGAGGTAGTCAAAATTCAAATTTCTACATGCTGTTTCATTTAGGAAGAAAAACGGAAGATGGAGCAAGTTATTTCTGATTGAGTTATTTTATTTGCCAAGAGCATAAAACTTCTGCTTTCTTTATAGTTTAAATCATAGCAGCTGATGAGAATATAAAGAATGCAAAAAGGATATATTTTATTTGTTTATAGAACTAAATCTTTCAGCAGGCACTCTGCACTACTTGCTTCCTTGTACTATATTCTCAGTGCTTCTGTCACTGGCTTTTTTTCTATTCTTTTTTCTGTATCTGTTCTGGTAGGCCATTTTACTTGTCTCTCACAGAGCTGCTCCTCTCCAATGCAATCATTCTCCAGTCAGCCTTGACAGCTAGAATCTACTGTAACTTTGAATATGACTTCATTTTGGCAGAAAGTCTATTACTTTAGTTTTTAATTCCAAAAAGAAATTTTAGATCATATTACTTCGATCCTGAATTAAATGCTGATCTTAACCCTAGCCATTTTAATTTAGTAAAACCCAAATAATAATATCCCCGGTATTAGCTGCCACCTGTGAATCCAATGAATCCTAAATTTGTGACAGCTAAAAACCTCAAAACAAGACAAAAAGACTGTAACAAACTTTGTATTATCTGCCCATAAATTATTAACATATCAGTAAACTACTTCTGTGCCTATATATTTATACATCACCAATCATATAGTATTCAACTCCCTTTTAGAATTTTTTCTCCCTAAACATTTTATTTTCAACTAGACAAGAAGAAGCTTTCATTAATGAATCTCTGGGCTAATGGCTTCTGTGAAATCTATCTTAACCAGGTCAAATGGAAAAATCATTACTTTTAGAATCCCTCCACCACTGATTTTATGAGATAGTATGCTGAAATTGTGGCATTGTGGTAGACTAAATTTGATGATGCAATACTGAATTTAGTCCTGTGGCCACATTACCTCCTTTGTATTACCCCATGTACTGGGATTGGTACTGAACAAGTTACCCTCTTAAAATATATTTATAGAGAGTCTAGAGGTCTATTGTAGCAAGAAGTTCCTACCAGAAATGACTAGGTCTTTGAAAAGCTATCCATATGACCATATAACATAGTCACAGAGACTATATATATATAATATATAAATATATAATCACAGAGACTATCTTCACACTTGGTCAAGAGAAGGTATGTGATTCTCAGCAGGGCTCTATTACAGCCCAAATGGAAATGCCTATTCAATATTTCAGAAACTCCATAAAATCTGTTTACTATTTTCTTTAGCTTATCACTGGAAAGTTATCAAAAAGAACGGGATATCTGATTAAGGTCCCTTTTCTATTGATCTTCCAGCTGGAAGCACATCATGCCAATAAACATGTCTATCACTTTACCACATTGGTTATGCAGGTACAGTATCCAATAAATTTACTGGTCAGATGGGTGTTTTGAGGAGATGCCACTTTAAAAATAATTTTCTAATTTTTTTATGTTAGGCCACTACGATAGTTTTCTATCACGAGGAAGCTAAGAAAACTGTCAGGTGTTCTGGTGTCTGTACTCACAATCCTCATCCCAGATAATCCACAAATATCTGGAGGAGACAGCTATCTCTGCACAACCATATGAATTCCTCCAAGAGACTTACTCGTGCTCTCCTAAAGAGGACAGTGTTGCAGATTAACCTCCAAGTTTTGTGATAAAGCTTGCAAGACTATCTTTCCCCCAAACTGTGTGTGGTTCAACCATGGGACTAGCACAGTTGCTAATTTTTCCAGTTGCCCGGTAGACTGTGTCTCAAGATTATGAAACCCAAGGAGTTATTACAAGGAAGTACAAAAATAATTATCTTCAAGTACTTGAAATAAAAGTTTTAAACTGTTATACGGATTTAGCCAATGCCAGGAGTTTTTAATGGAGATGGTAGTTTATTTAGGGAATGTACATTTTCTTTTGTAATAACTCCCTACTGTCACTAAAAGTTCTGTCTGATTCCTGAGGTCAGTGGGCAAAGTTACCACCTTTCACTGTTCTTTTAGGGTAACTAACAAAAAATCAGAGCTATATAGCTTTAAATGTCATTAAATTAATTAATTTAATTAAAAATTTATTTTGTGCTTAAAATTTACGTTAAAATGTCACCATATACATTGCGGTAAAGAGCTGCTTCACAAGGGGCAAAGAATTGGAGAAAAAAAAAGTTTGCATTCTACAAATATATTTTCAAGTAATTTCTCTTGCCAGAAACCCATTTATAAAAGCACAGCTTTCAAAAACTCTTCATATCAATTAGTGTCTAGGGAGTTGGCTGATTCTGCACCACACAGTCTTATTTTCTCAGTGGAAATCCTCTCTTCCCCACCCTGCTTATGAATGCAAGGTAGATTATCTCTTTTGAAGCAACTCACATTTCTTTGGGTCCAATTTCAGATCTGCAACCTTAAACTTATCACGGAGTATTTGCAAATGTTAGTATCAGTTCTTATTTCACAGTTTTAGTGGGCGCCAGGATATCATCTAGGTTTAACTGTACAGGCTACACAATACCCTTTTCCATTAGTCTCTCAAATATGCATTCTGCAAGCCAAAAACATTAGGTAAAACTGACAACAACCTTGTCCTGCTGTGAAAGCAGTTTTCTTCCAGTTTATCTCCACAAGCTAGTATTCACTTCAAAGTTGTCTGTAGAAAATGAAATTAAATCTCTGTAACAACTGGTGTCTCATGTATTCATTGTAATGACTAAGATTTTTTCTGAAAGGAATACATTGCTTCTTCTACTCTACCTCATTACCTTGGTGCTACCATCTCTTCTTCTTAAACAAAAGTAGGTATGAGGCCCAAGAACTGATTGAAGGCCTTGGATGTGTCTTGTTGATGATTTCTCAGTGACCCCTTTCTTATTTGCTGTTGGTAAATGGTGGGGTGCCTGTTGACTGACAAGGTTCCCTTTGGTATTAATCTTGTGTTGGGCTAGTATAATTCAATAAAGCTATTCCTTTTTTGCTTTATTATGCAAAGAATAACTCCTGTTTCCTGGAAATAAAGACTCTCAAAATGAGAAGTCACAGACTGTTCTGTTAGCATGCTGTACATTTAGAGCAAGTGTAGCAGAAATTCTCAGCGGTCACTTTCACCCTTCCCGTTTTCATATCCTGGATTCAATAACTCAAGTTATGCAAGCACCACTTTCTTTATTCCTCTATCATTTGTTGCTTGTCAAAATAATTTCTGTTTCACGTCCATAGGTGATAAAGCAATTCTGGTAAAAAATTCCACAAAGAAAATTACAAAATAGTTTGTTTTGTCAGAAGACTAACACAATACCAGCTACCTTCGTTATTTCTCTCTGCAAAGGCACAGCAAAGGCCCTATAGACCCTTCACTCACTCAAGAACATGTCTTAGAAGAAATCTGCTGAATGTCAGACCTGTAGAAAACAACTCTGGGATTACATTACGCTATAATTAACTGTAACTCAGTACACCTAGGTTATTTAGATTTGTAGTTGCACAACCACATAAGAACAATGGAAGCGCAATTAAATTAAATGGGTTTGTGTGACGCTTACTGTAAGTATCCCAAAGTACTGATAAATACAAAATAATGTTATCATTACCTAAAAACATCTACATACAAGCACCTCTTTATACAGAAGTTTTGCCTTCTGGTCTTGTTTTTAAAGGGAAAAGACTGAGTGTAAATTAAAGTAAAATGTGAGAAGGTTTTTCATATTAAAAAAATTCTTATAATCTAATTAAATACCAGGGAGTTTTGTTATCACTAGGGTAAATCACTCAAAAACTATGGTATGGTTTGTCCGTTTTCTTGCATAATATTACACACTGCAAAATTTTATTGTTGATAGTACATAGTACATGTACTATGAGTACACAGTTTTGTAGAGAAGATCCAAAATACTCATTGCTAGTACTAATGTATAGCTTATTAGTCCAACTTTTCTTGTACTGCTACATAACAGCTCAAATAATAAACAAAAAAAATAGCTTATACAGCATCAGAAAGCTGCTGTATACCAGAAGGAATAAAGTATATAATAATTTTATCATTAGATGATTAACCCCATTGAAATTAATTTAGAAGATACGGATCATCACAGGCTTCAACTTTATCTAAACTGAAAGTTTATTCATACCAATATTGTAATTACATTAATAAACTCTGTGTAAATAGCACATTTTCTAATTCGAAGTAGCAGATATTTCCCTGAAACTCAAGAGGCTGGTCAGTCAATAGATTAATACATTCTGTCACTTAATACCTGTGATAATTTAAGCAGCTGTTAAAATTCAATACTGGCTAACACTAGGGTAAGAATATGATCCTGAACAAACATTTGTCAGTCTTTGTAGAAGATGACAGGTATTTGAATAGACAAGTAGATGCAGTGCAGCTCTCAATAAGATGCATGACAGAAGCGGAAGCAATGTTGTACCCCTGACAAATGCTAGACCACTTTAAAATGACAGAAGTAAATTATGTTGTATTTAATATTATGTGGACCTAATTTTTTTTTTTTTATTAAGTGGGGAGAATTCTTTTGATGAAGAAAGATAGAAACTGAGAGCCTCATTCACTATTATTGCAAAATTATGTCAAACAGGTGATTATACCATTAGCTTTTCCAACAACCTGATCATTTGATCCGAAAGCTATTAAAAAGAAAGATGTGATAAAGTTTGTTGCTTCAGACACAACATTAGTAGAATAAAAATAAAACCTTGTAGAACCATTCTTTTATTTGTTCTACTTTCATAATGGCATTAATGAGAGTATTAACACGAGGAAGCATTTAAATGTACTTCTAGAATGCCTACGGTGACAAACATAGAATAACTTAAACAAAACCTCTAAGAAGCTTTTCACTGTTGAAACCTAATTTTGAAAGTGATCTTTCAGACTACTAATCCACAGTTTTAAAAATCTGTGTAAAGCAGTTGTGGTATCAAAAGCTCTGTTAAGTTCAAATTAATTTTGACATTTATGATAGCAGTCTGTTTTATCAAATGGTAGTCTGCTCTGAAACTATGAATATTTGATTGACTGCAAAACATTCTCATTTTAAAAAGCTATTATTTTTTTTTTCTTTTTACTCATTCAGGAAGTGCCCTGATAACTGAATCGCTATGAATACCCCCCAAAAATGGTCGACAGCTTTCCTTCAGTATCTAAATAGTTAAAAATGAATTTGTGTTTCTCGCTAATATTCTTATAAGGATTGATAGTATAAATACTTACTTGAACTTCTCAGTAAAATTTTCACTAAGAGACAATCATGATGTAGTAATGTTTGCAAAAGCAAGTTCAAATTACAGTACGGCTGGGATAAGAGCAGTTTCAGCTGATCCTGGGCTGCCATTTCTCGGGTTGATGAAGTCCTTTCAAAATGCAAGATAAAGACAAAATAATGTAGTTAATTTATCTATGAAATTAATATCCTTAAAGTGCAGATGTAATGCTAACTCCCTTAAATGTCAATTCCTCCCAGATTACTCTGAAAACGCTTTCATGCTTGCTTACTTTAAGGCAGCTCAGGGAAGGAATTACATTTAATCTCAACTAGCTAAAAGCAAATTAACATTTGGTAGTCTGCCAAAGTTATAACTGATACAAAGCAACCTCACTTATCTCTTTCATGGAACCATGTTTGCCTTGTTCTACTAGGCAAAAAGGATTTTTTTTTGTGCTTGAATAAATTTAAGACTATTATTCCTTAGTTCATGATTACATTAATTGTGTAGTAAGAGCTCTGAAGTGTCCTGGATGAAGTATGTGAAGTTCTTAATTAAAAAACAGAGAGAATGCTCAAAGGGGCTGCAAGATTCCACATTAGGCTGACCAATTCTTTTATGTCCTGAAAAGACACCTGAAATATCAAGTTGGTTGGATAATAAAGGCTTTGCCAACAAGGAGAGGTGTGAAAGTGTAGTAAAAATTCATTAACTTTTAAGGAGATTGCCATTTGTTTTCTGTTTGTGGTTTACATGATCTGCAAAAGTTTAGGTTTTCAAAACAAAAATATTCTAGGGCTTCCTCTGAACTCATTCAATGACGCAACACCAACCACTGAACTCACATTGCGGCAATTAAATTAAAAATTAAAATAAATAAATAAATAAATAAATTAAAATTGTTCTGCAAGATGTTTATCACCCATTATATTTACTATTTTCTTCTTTTGAAACTTTTTTTTTTTAAGTTTTCAAAATTGGGTTGTGGGCAATTTTTTTCCTTGAAAGTTTTTATTTTTCAAAATTGAAGGTTTTAAAATTGAATTTCAACTGATGTTTATCCACTTTATTTATTCATTTTGGCTACAAGTTTTTACAACAACAGCTGCTGACACTGGAAGTTTATGCACTGCAAATGTAAACTTTTATGCACATAAATTTTACACGCACCAGTGTAAAAACTGCGTGTCCACTGATGAGTCAACTATGCAGGCATAAACTCTATCTGCCAAAACACACACACCTTCAGCATCAGTTAAAGGCTTCACCAGGAGCTACATTCTCCTGTTCAAGACTACAGAAGGATTTATATGCCTCTGCACATACACACAACTATTGAGACAGAACTAAAATGGGTTCATGTGGCTGTTTTAACAAGTTTTAACTTCTCTGTTACGTTGCACACTTCTACAACCACCCCACTCAGCCAAGTGTGACACCACCCAACTCTGCTTGTATGCACGCATCAAAAACCCAGAGGTGACTGTGCAAAAAACTTTGCTGTTCAGTCAAGGTTGCTATATAGACCATATACCTAATATGAACCTACAACACCTGGAAATGAAAATGCCACTTGATATACTCCTCTACTTTAATTCCTCAGGTGTATATATGTTTCCATGACCAGAAAAGCAGTATGTCATGTATCTTGCAGGGCAACCTTGAAGTAACCTAACGAAACCAAGCTTCCATAACCCCATTTCCCAGCAGGACCTTTACATGACACTTTTACATCAAAACTTCACAGTTAATACTGTAATAGTCATTTTAATACAGGACGATTCTATACATAGTCTTTGGGATTCAAACAGTAAAGCAAATACCTATGAGTTGATAAGCAAGTCATGTGCCATGAAAACCGATGTACAGCTTTGGTGATTTTCATCTGGTACACTATATATATAATTGTTGATAATGTAGCACTGGCTGAACAATTATATTTTTGCATATAAGCACATACTGGATTCTAATAATATTTATCACAAGTGTATACATGTATACATTTAAATCCTGATAGAACTTGCAGCCAAAATAAATTTTCCATACTTAAAACACATAATGCATTCAAACTTTCAACATTAGGGCATTGCATTCTTAACAGTATTATCTTAATTTCTGTATGTTCAAGATGAGTTATAAATATCTAAACTCTAACGCGTGTTAAGAATTAATTAGTAGTTAGTAATTAAACTTTAAATTAAAACAACAGTATTATCTTAATTTCTGTAATTTCTGTGGCTGAGAGCAAACTCAACACTTCATTAATTCAGTTAAAATATATGGGCCAGTTTCATTTTGTTTCTGCCATGCCATGTTATTCTAGCTAATAAAGTCACTCATTGCCTTCAAACTATAAGAAAAGGGAAAAGTTTGGTCAATTAGATTTATGAAGGATAATATTTTAAATGACTTTAGAAATAACTGCCATTTTTAGAATATTTGAGTTGAAATAAAACTTGTCTGTCATTGACCAGATGGGAAGTTATCATGTTGTAATATACACCAGTTCTTGGCTCTTTAAGCCTCTTGCAAATTGAAATGTACAATGGTGTGACTCACTTGGAGGAAAAATAAAATATAGCAGACATTCCCTACAGCCATGAAGCTAGCACCAATAAATGCACTGAGAAGTTTTGTAACGTGCATATGGAGAGGCATATGTTCTCCCATCCTCGTAGCTCAGTACTAGTGAAAATAAGACTAGCCTCATAAAAAGTGACAAAAGGTGAAGTACATATAAATATCACACATATAAATGTTCAGTTTTGTACAGTACAAGAAAAAAACCCCAGAACTCTGATTTGCAAATGGTATGATTATAAACCCCAAATGAAGCAAAGAATGAATCACAATTACCACTAAGGGAACTGTAATATAAATTATCAATAATTACTTAGTTTGATAATCAACTGTGTTATTTTGGTTAGTATCCAAGATAGAAAAAAAGAAAACCTCAAATGGTAAGTTCAAGATTTTATAAGGCAAATAAACATTAATGCTACTTCATGTTAACAACATTGACAAAGATGTTGATGGTATATAGATAAAATAAAATAGACTGTAGCCATTTTTAGGCATGAAAAATAATGTAGTAAATCTGGTTAAATAGTGAAATTGTATACAAAATCACTTCAGGAACTATCAAAACTTTCTCTTGAAATATCAAGCTTAGGAAGAGCAAATACTTCATAGGTACGTTTAGAGTCCTCAGTTAAAAATTAGGTGGCCACTGCTCTGAGCTGTACAATGGCCTGTGCTTCCAATGTTGTTATGGACAGTGAATATATATTTTTATTAGATTTAAGAAGTAAAAACATAAAACAATCCAGGAAGAATTAGGATGCTCTAAAAAATAGTTTTCTGCAATACTTCAAAACAACATGTCTTGTTCATACTCTTAATTGCAGTATTTCAAGAAAGAAAATCTGGTATATGACATAAAAATACAGTGTAAAACTCATTAAAAAAAATAGAACACCTCAGAATAGGTCCCTTAAATTACTTCTTTACACACATGGTCTTTTACAGGTTTTTCCAGCAGCTGAAAGGTGTGTTGTTAAAACATTAAATATTTTAGCAATATAGTTCACTCATTATCACCAGGACAGTACACATGGGTTTATAAATATAGACTGTCCTCACACAGGTGCACTAACAATATCTTCTGAGAGAGATGTTTTCTTTTGGAATCCTCATTTTCCCATTTGGTCATCAAGAATACGTATATTTTCTCATCTTTCATCCAGGGAAAATACGTAAATGCTGGATAGCTCTGGAATAGTTTTATTTTATTTATTCAAGACAAATTTGTCCTAAACAGCATCTATAAAATCCTAATTCCACCTCAAAAAAGAGAATTACATCAGACTGAAATGGTGCCAGCATTTTCTTTACATGCTTCCATAAGGCAGAGAGTACTCACTTGTGAAGACATCTTCCAAAACTCGTAATTCACAGTATAATTTAAATTTTGAGTACTGGCCTTGGATAAGGGCATCAAAAACCTTATCGTCTTTTCTACAATGAATCCTTAATGAAGCATAAATTTTCCCAGAAATAGAGTAGATCTCTTTTTAAGTGACCATGCAGTCATTCCTTATATCCCTCCTCCTCCTCTCCTTTCTCTCCACCCATGCATAACTTATAATGCCACTGACAAATTTCCCTGAAGCTTGACTGAGAGGTAAAAACAAACGATCTCCCCAGGCTTTAGAAAAACTTAAATTCCTGTTTGAAGCAGGGAAAAGGACACATTCTGAATTCCAAAGTTATTCACTTTATTTGGCATTTTGGTTAGCCAACCACACAACTTTGATCCAGCCACAGCATCTCCTGCCTCTGGTTCACTAGGTATCAGGATGACCAAGGAAGGTGATAACAGTATTGCTGACGCGTAGTTAGGAATGAAAGTTACAGAAAGAAATCAGCCTGTTTTGTGTAGAATGGGGAAAAATCATAGGGAAGATGTTGTGATGTACAAGGTACAAGGTACAGTGTGTACAAGGTAAGAGGTAATAAATCCACAGCACATTGGTCTTCAACAGGTCACCATAGGTCACCACTCATATGATAACGTGTTCCTCCAAAATATAAAAATACTTTCTCAGAAAACACAGTAACAACTCACAATAGCAGCTTTTCATGAAAATGGAGAGTGAAAATCTCTCAGGAAATAACTTTTGAAGAGGAGGAGGAGGTGAAGGGGTTAGGAGAGGATCTACACTGGTGTGGGAGTGCTTCAGGTTCAAAATTAGAAAGGGAATGACAGCACAGCTGGTAGCATATGTCTCATATGTAACTTGTCATTATATGCAGTGACACAGAAAAAGAAATTAAGCTTTTGCCTCTAATCATGCAGTAATCTCCAAAAAAATCAGCTACGATCAAGCAGCATATTTTTCAATGAGTTATTTATATATCAAACCTTTTTTTTTAAAACCAGCAATCATAAACAGAGGCATACATTCTTTATCTCCCCTTTAATTATAAGTCTTTCAAACCACAACTGTGCTGAACTACATTATTGTCAAGAGCTATATACTCTTTAATTAAAGCAAGAAAACCTTACAGATAATTCAAATATGAAACTTAATGAATATACTAGCAAAAAGCTACAAAGTGCACTGCTTTTACTGTGACCTTTCTTACAGACTCTTAAAGTTTAAAGACCAGGGAAATCTGCAATGAATTTAAAAAAAAAATGTTTCTATGTTTTCTAAATCAAAATACTAATTAGACATTTACTCGGATATATTCTTTTCAAAATGTTGTAACAGTATTTGATTAATATTGACTATACGGTGATTCTTTTACAACAATAAACTTTTGATACTTACTTCAGCAAGGATGAACAGGATGATGGTATGCAACATAACCAGTGTAACGGATGATAAAAGACATGTGAAAAATCTTGAGGAAGATGTTCACCAGAATTGTTCAGAAATGTCCTGAAAAAAGCCAAATACTTCTGAATTACACGGAAGACTGAAAACTTCTTTGGATCCCTAGTACTAAATATATATATATGAATGGAAGACAGGAAATCCCTTAAGATAAATAGTACTAACATATGTATTTATACACATAATTGTAAATTTATTTATCTTATGTACTGTTAAAAATGTCATTCTATATCTTATTTACTTTCACTCTTTGAAACTTGGCATCTAGCACTGTTAAAGCAGTTTTCTTCATATTTTTACTCCTTTATAGCTCAAGAGAATTGCTCTTCATTCATTTTTATAGCTCTTTTCTTTCTGCATAATACATGCATCATATTATCAATACTTTTATCATAATCATAAAGTACAATTTGAAATTATATCTCTTGAATAACATGCAAGTACACATAGACTTCGGATTAAACTGGACAAAAACTTGAACCAAAAGCACTGGACCTTCGCTGGTTTGTGAGAAATAGAATACTGGTTGAAAAAAACCCACTGTTTTCAAATATAAAATCAAGAATTAGATAATCTAGTTTTATGTCACTTTTGCATTACTTCTCTTACCCAAAGGATGTGAGAGGCAAAAATCAGATGTGTTCCATTAACTGATAAAAAAACCCAACTATTTTAATTAATTAATGATAATATATTAGTATAAATATATATAAGAACATGATTATAGAATTTAATATTTGCCTTTAATTATTATTTAATAGAAAAGAATAATAAATGTGTTAGTATTTGTACAGTTCTGTAGCAACAATTAGGATGCAATAATGTGTGATAGGAATGGATGCCCCTTGGCCTCTTCCCATTTTATACTGAACACAATCCCAGCAGAGAGGACACAGTCAGTTACATCCACCCTCCATTAACCATAATCAATCTTTTGCACCTTACTTTTCAACTTACTTGTCTGTGAATTTTTCATCTTAATAACTTTCCTTCTCTGAAGCTTGTTTCTTTACGTATCATGGCTAGGATTTTCTAAGTTCTATAAAGAAGGTAGCTACCTTTAAAAATGCCACTTCTACAGAACTCATTTATAGTGTATTTGCTTTACTTTCTGGAATGAGTCCATATCATTCCCACTTTTGAGTCAGTACTCTTTCTATTGCAGTGAGAGTAGAAGGACATTTAAAAATACCTCAGGAAAAGACATGAGGATTTTCTCAGGACAGGAAAAACTTTTTATAAGACATAAAAAAGCCACTACCAAGACATGGAAACAGTGAGAGTGGATCTAAACACTTAAAACTGGAGAAAGAATGGAAATGCATTGGAATACAGCCTTCAGGAACTCCTAACCTAAAAGGTAAAATCTCTTTTCTTAAGGGTGTTTTGTCAGCACAACATTAACAGTATTTGTGTTTTGTTATTTAGTTCCTGAAAATTACTTTTCAACTCTTTTTCACAGCTGCATGTAAGTACTTTAGAAATGTCGTTACATCTCTATAAAGTCACTGTCTGCCTCTAAGACCCCAGATAAAAGAAGAGAGAGAATTACACTTGTTCAACAAGAAAGACGGGTGTATAGCTTCTGAACTTCTCCTAAAGATAGGGTGCTTTATTTGGAAATTAATTTTACTAATCAAACGAAATTAGTAGGAAGAATTTTACAGACTTCAAAATGATCTTAAGAAGGATTAGCACATAGTGAATTTGTGCTCTTCATGAATTTCTGAAAACATGAAAGCTAAAAATAAAGCTGAAATTGTAATATGGATAAAGGGAGAACTTAAACTGGAAAATAATTATTTTAAAGACAGTAATTTGAACATTGTGAGAAAAGTAAAGAAAAAAAATTCTCATCCTCTGAAATATTTTTCTTAATATAGCAAAGCATAGAGCCAACTTCCTACAAGAAAGCATGATAGATACAGTTTAGGTAGTAAACTAATAAAAAAAGACCACATCTTGTCTACTGACAGTATATGAAATGTCCTAGGGACTTCTGGGCTAGAGCAGCTTCTTAAGTATGGTTTCTTAGCTGTCTCCTAAGGACAAGCACAGGTCAGACTTTTGGACTCTGAGGCTTATAAAAAAACCTCTACACAAAGGTTTAAACTGAAGTGGAGAGAGCAGGTTTTAAAGATTGTTTAAATATTAGAAGTGTCTAATAATAGACAATAATTCTTATGCCAGCATTTCTCAGTGTCCACTGCTGGCTATGTAATTCTTGCCAGGAAAACCTGACTCTGTGCCAAACAGTTTAATTCAACTACTCTTCTGACAGAAATATAGCAATGGCTAGTAGGAAATTCATTTTTACTACAAGTTATGTTAAAGCAGCTGCCTATAGTCTCAAAGCAGTGGATAACACCTGTGAAAGTATTTAATACCACAGCAAGATTCCAAATTACAGTAGTTTGATTCTTCAGTAGAGTATGACAAGGTGAGAATTGATCTTGTAAGCCTCAGTGCAGGTGTGAAAAAATGAGATGCCAACAAGATGCATCCTAATGGTATTTCCTTGTAGACTTTGAAGGATTTAGCTCTGTATAACAAATAACCATGACTAAAAAGCAACTTCATGAATTATAACTCTTATATATCAAAAATCAAGAGAAACATTTTCAGTTTTTAGAATTGAATGACAGATTTTTACCCCATAGACAGCAATTTTACTGATCGAATCTCTAAATTCTTTTCTCAGCATTTAAGTAATTCACCTGATTTTTTGTTGAGAAAGTAAAATCTCCTAATTCATAGTATGAAATAATAAAAAGGTGCATTCACCTTACTCCTTATGATCTTCCCTAAAAGAAAGTTTGTCTTCTCCTGTTCAGCACAAAATACTTACTAAAGAATATAGAAAAATGCACGAGAATAGGTCTGCTTCAACTTGAGCAACCCTCAGCCTGGTGCAGAACACAGCCTTGATACTGAGTCAAAAACGGGTCTGTTGTACTGCAAATTGCCAGCCTGCCTCTCCTGGATAAATTAATTCTGTAAAAAGTAATGAATGAAGAACAGCACTGGATTCTCCTAAGAAATCCACAAGTAGCATTGAAACTGTTAGATCCTCTACACAAAACCCAGCTACTTGAACTGAGTGACAACAATCTTGCCAGTGAGTAAGACTATGAGGACTGGAAATTCTGAGGGATGAAGATTCTCTTTTTTTTTTTCAGAAGCAAGAAAATAGCAATACTTGGTAGATTTGGGGAGCACATTATGGAGACTGCTGTTGTTCAGCAGCTTCCTCAAAAACATGGATGAAAGTGGACAGCCAGAACACGCATTTAGGACATCTGCAGGTGACAGTAAACTGGGGAAAGTTAACCAACAATAGAGTTCCATGTCGTGGCTGACTGGGGCCAACAGAAACTCACAAAATTCATTGAGGTAAAGTGCAAATTTTTGCTCCAGCAAAAGACTTATAATAACCTAGGTTGGGAACTGGCTGTCTCGACTACCAACCCTACCCACCCACAAAGCTGGGGTTTATGACCAACAGGGTGTTGAATAGGAGGCAAGAGTGTAATCTCACTAGAAACACAACCCACACACCAGGCTGCATTAGGAGAAAATTAAAGACAGTGATTTGCGTCATCTACTTGGCAAAAGTTAAGTCTTATCTAGAACATTTTGTCCAGGTGTTGGGCCTACAACTCAAGGAGGTTGTGAAGAAACGGTAAAGGACTAGACTGCATCATCTATGACAGGAGGTTGAAGGATTTTGGCTCCTTCACTCTGGTGAAGAGGTGGCTAAAGGTTCATCAAGTAATCTCATGGCAGCCTACAACTACCCAAAGGGTAATTACAACAATATTGACAAACTTTTCTGAGTGGGAGCTGGTGTGACACAGCAAGCTGTCGCCAGCAGCTTTGAAGGTTCACACTAGACATTAAGTAATGCTTTGCACTAAGTGCAGCCATGGAACAGGTTTCCTGGGGAGGCTGTAAAATCTCAGTTCCTGGAGGTTTACAGTCATGTCTGACTGCTCTTGAGGATCGACGTGCTTTGAGCAGGAGGTTGGCCTAGATGACCTCCAGCAGTCCTTTCCAACCAACATTTCTATTATGCTAAAGTTACTTCAGGAAGGCCAAAGAATGGTGGAGGAAAATGAAGTACAGAAAAATGACTGAGCATTAAAAACTGATGACCCAAGATTCGTAGATAAATTTAGGACTGGGTCTAAGCTTTGTCATACAGAAAAGAAGCTCTAAGTGATAGCAGAATACACAACATTTGAACACAAAATTAGGAAGGAGAAAGCATATGCCAGAGTCACTTTATTAGAAGTTAAGGGTGTTATTAATTTTTCAGCACCTCTGCTATTTTGTTGCATAGTTCAACAACACAGTGAAGAATTTGGAATAATTTTTAATTCCCTGGAAGCAATAGTTAATACAGCATCTCTAGTAAGCTGGAAATGAGCCAGTCCTATTATTAGACAACTCCCAGAAAACAATGTTCTGTCATCACTGCTTTTATGATTACACAAAACTTTCCTGAGCAGTCTAAAGATTAATTTAAACCTAGCCCCTGCAGGGAAATCTTCTAGTACCAAAAGAGAGCATGACAGATTTAAAAGAAAAAAATCTTTATTTCACTTACAGTTAATTTTACCTAAGTTTTGAAAGATATAGAGCCAAGCTAACAGATGGAAATTTTGATTACACAGCTGTAATTGTAAAGAGAACTGATGAAGGATTAGTATTACTTGAAAATCATGTGTAACTTCTAAATTTGTTATTGATAGATTTTTAACGTGATGAACTATGCACTAAGTAAATAATGGACCTAGGAATTCAACATAAAATTCAGTACATGAAAGTGTTTCCAACTGGATACAGTCATTCAAGAAGCTAATTTGATAAATCTGGGGTTTTTTTGTATTCTGGACACTGGGTTAGGTTAGTTGACAAGTATTGGCTGTAATGAAATATACAATATAAAAGACCTGTTTCAATAACGGAGTCTCACAGGTTTGAAAATAAAAGTTCTGATATAAAAGTTCATATAAAAATATCCCTTTTTACTTACATAAAAAACATGCATCATCTCTCTAGCAATGTTTTATAGTGTTAATATTTTTTTTGGTAACTATATAACAAAATATGACATTTTTTTGTATTCTTTTTAAACAAAGCTGCCAGATTTCTGTTATGATTTGCAGAGTACTTTGTAGTAAATTGAATGAGCTGCTACATCCTGTGCATGTCAAGTTTTTGATCTCTAGAAAAGCAAACGAGGATACTGAAATTTATATGCCTAAATATGAAACCTATATGACCAACCTGTTAATCCGTAGCATTTTACATAAAATATAAAATACGCTGCCTCACTCTCTCCACTGACACTTTGTTCTAAAACTCAGTGAGTTCTTAAGTTAGTACACATTCTTAAATCATTTCAGGTATAAATAAATCTGTAAGCAACATGGATTAGTGGAGGAGACTAGAACAGCTAAAAGGAACAGACTATACTACATATTTATTTTTGTCTATCATTCTAAGGGATAGACTGGTAGGAAAAGTAAAATGTCAAAACTGACAGGAGAAGCAGCTACAGCTACCACACTGTCCATTCCTCCCTCCATTACTATTGCCACAGCAGGACTACCTAATCTGTTAATGAGCCACCTTCTCAAATGCCATTTTTTCAAGATCCTGAATTGTATAAGAGCAAATATCCATTTACAATACACTTTTGCATGTTCCTCAGAGCGCATACCATTAAAATGAGCCCACACATGACAGAAAATATCTAGTTAAAGAAGCTTAAATGCAGGAGGTGTCCACTCTCCTGTTTGTACCACTCCTATTACCTAGAATATTCTTATTTAGAATAATAAAAGCCAGCTGAATAGGATTTAGCTTTCTTTGGGGGTTTGTTGTTTGTTTGTTTGTTTTTTTAATTTTTGATCTCATTTTGTATTGTCTCTTACATCAAATTTACAGCAGAAATTTTAGCATGAAAAAGCGATGACAGACTCAGACCCAATTTCAGTGCAAGCAATGTGTCCTTTTTTTTACAGTTGTGACATGTGAAGACATAATTTTATAAAGATTGGCATCTACGCTCTTTCTTTTTTAAACTATATTTAATATTTGTTGAAGGATACAGGTCACGTAACTAGATGATAGTTTCAGTGAATTATCTTTAAATTCCAATACTTACAGAATCATTATGGGATGACAGCTGAAGGAAGGTAGCTATATCTGAACTAGTAAGAAGATGATTATTTTTCAATTGTATGAGTGACTAAGTCCTTGAAAACCTTACCAAAGGCTTTACTACCATAGTAGTAAATGTTTTTAGATTGCTGAGAATGTGTTTCTAACAAAATGTGTCCTAACTGAACAGTAAATTGCAAATTTGGGGCAATAATTATTAAATTTTACTGTTTGTGTTATGAAGGAAATAACACTAGACATTCATTATGGTCTATATTATCACCACACAAAAAAATATGCAGTATAGGGGTTTGATCCACAGCTAATAAATCCCAGCAGATATAATTGGTCTTTAGGTAAGATTGTAAAGGTAAATTCAAGACCAAACTGAGAAATGGTCAAAGGTCATAAAAAAAGTGTTAACACAATGCATTGCATTTGTACTTCAACACAATTATCCACCTTGTAGATCTATCCATGTAAGCTCAAGAACCAATTTTATCTCAAATTGAATGTTTCTTTCATACTCACTCATACAAATTCTTCAGCGGTGAAGTTAAAATAGCTAGCACAGAGAGCAAACCATTGCAGTGGCTATGTATTCTATAGATCTTGAGATCTCTATCTTCATGTGGATCCAGAAACTCCTGTACGGAGCTGCAAACTGACCAGAGCATATCTTCGGTGGACATCAAAATTGCTGCAATATCAAATCTGTAGGGGAAAAAAAGTGAAAATAACATTGGTTAGGACATTAGGATAACCCTAAATTTCAGCTAAATAGAACTTTCCTCTGACAATGTAAAATACCTAAACCATAGCTTCAAATTTTGTTTTTCATCAGTGGTGTAGGAATTCTGAATCCATTACACTGTAAAAATTCAGCATTTCCAGAGAAAAGTTGTTACTGAAACTAGTCAAGACTTTAAAAATACAGAAATTTCCTCTTCCAAAAGACAATGTCACTAGACAGGAACAACTTATCTTCTGAACTACAACTAAATAAAATTAAATTTAGTTTTCTTTAGGATAAAGTATAACTAGAATGTACATACTATTTTCAAATCCTGCTGGAACAAAAAAGTAATGATAAGTGAACTGAATTTTCAATTTACAAAACTTTAACTTCCAGGCAACATATTATGATGTGGAATGTTTCTGAGTCAGTAATCTGTTGCCTGTTGATATTGGCTGGCAGAGCATCATGGGTCATTGGCCTAAACAATAGGAAGAACCCAAAATACAACATCATCTCACAAGACTATGATGACATACAACAGATCAGAAACAGATGGATAGCACAAAATATATGTCAGGCATGAAACTGGACTAAAAAAAAGTACCTAAGTACCTAAAAGCCAATGGATGCATATGTGATCATTGGCATTTTTAAGGATCAGCTTATTTTTGGAAAATCTAGGCAAACACACATGAACTGACATTTGTCTACATTACAGATCAGTTCTCTAACATTTCAAGAACCACTGGTAGAAGACTCCCCCCATCAAGTACAGTATTATTAAAAAAACCCGTAGAATCTCTGTGAGAAAATGATATTGAATTATATTAATTAAAAATAGCTTTTTTTCATTTGTGCATGATTGGACAATTCAATTCACTTAGTGACAAATTCAAGAATCACCTTATTAAATAAAACAGCTTCTCTACAAAATAATACTGTAAACAAAGTTCTTTTTTGTTCAGTATTTTGAAGCAAAGTCATAGAGAATTGTATTACATTTAAGAAATACTGTATAAATACATATTCTTCTTTTTTTGTTTTGTTTTGTTTCCAGGAAATTTCCAAGAAAGTTTCAAGAAAATCTCTCTGTACCTAAAGGCATAGAAATATATCAGAAAGATACATACTTAATAATGTAAAATAGTGCAGGAATAGAGCATACAAAGAGGTATTTTGAGTCGCAGAATAAAACTTTGGGTTTTTTCCCACCTATTCCAAGAATTTGAATTTGTGCAAGTCACTTAAGCTTCCATGACACTGCTCCTTTTCATACTAAAACTAACATAACACATAGCTCACACAGAACATAGCTCTGCTGAGTGTCCTTCATCTCCTACAAACGACAAGCCCCTAAGTTTTTAACTCACATGGCCACCATGGACTATATAACTTTCAAAATCTAAAAAGAAGAACATATTCACATAGGAAAGATATATAGCAAAGGGGTAGGATGAGGAATACACCAATTTCTTCAGTCAAACAAGGCACTGGATAGAAAGAGAAAGGACAGAGGAAGGGTAAGCTTCAACCTAGAAACGCCTGCTTTAATAGTTCTTAAAAGACCCTCCTCTCTGGCAAACCATAAGAATCCCAATCACAGAATCACACTGAATGACAGAATGTTGGGTATTGGAAGGGACCTCGAAAGATCATCCAGTCCAACCCCCCTGCCAGAGCAGGAACCTAAATGAGAAAAGAAATTTTGGGATTTGAGAAATCCCAAAAAGAACTTCCAGCTTCATATTTCTTAAAATAACAGAAGGAATACCCTCTTCCTCCTCTCTGCCTCTGCACCACTAGCTTCATTCTGCCAAATTTTCTGATGTGACTTCATAGTTCTTCACTTGAAAAGCCCTATGAAAACCCAAATGCTATTGGAACACATGGAGTGTTCTTCACGAATCAAGGGCTTGATTTCTATTCCTGATGCAGCTAATTCTGCCCGCGCTTTTGGTTGTGCCACCACTCCTCTATGCACTGTTCATCACGAAGCTTTCAAACCAATCAAGCAGTTTATGGAACAATTTCACTAAAAATTCAAAAGAAGTCTTTGATTCTGCCCAGTTTAGTATATGACTACCAAATACACTTAAATAGACAAAAAACATTACATTAAAATGATAATCAAAATACATAAATTGCATCTATCCCCTCTGCTGTGTTCATTAACACTTAAATTTGAATCAAAGCAGTGTGTAACAGTGCATTAAATATACAACCATTACCTGATTTGTGGTGTTCTCTTGTAACTGGGGCAGGCTTGACAGTATCTGGAGAACAGCATATCCAAAGATTCCTCTAGTACATCTGTAAGAATCTCCTGGGCTGTCTTGGGAGGCAGAATAGTCCACAGATCATGATGAAGAGCACAGCAGAAGTAATGCCACATCTGGATGGAGAATGAGCATCTTTCCCCCTACCAAAACCACCACACATTAGATAACAGAAACACACCTTCCAAAATATCAGTTTAGCTCCTGCATTGTAATTAATTCAATATGAAAGAAAATAGGTGAAGAGTTTCAGGCACATGATGACCAAAAACATAGTCCATGACAAGATGTGAAACATTTTTATTAGTAAGGAAACACATGTTCCATTTCAGTTGCAAAACTAGAGTTCTGCCACAAAACCAAACCACAGCATTTGACCTCTTACATCCTTAATTAACCTATTCCCAAACCCCATAGTGTTATAAGTCTCGTTTAAAAACATAAACAGCGTTCTGTACTCAGTAGAATAGTCAGATGGATTTAATATAAGTTTCTTTGTCCTCAAAATAAAATAATTATGTAAATAACTTGAATATATGTATTTCCCCAGATTCATAATTACCACATATAACTGTGATTATGACACTCTGGTTACATACAATGGATATGCAATAAGAGGAGAAAAAAAAACCCAAGCAACTGAACAATTGAACTGACAATAAGAAATGTCCAGAATTTTTTAGTAAGGTTTTTTTTTTTATCTTATAATGTTAACTCATTGAAACTGAGTATTTTCTGGGAAGGAATCAGTATTAGTATTTCACTATCTATGCAGAATCACCCCAATAAAACACAGAGATAAATACAGGCATCAAAATCACAGTGGTTAATCCACAATATCTCTAAGTACACAATTCAACTCACTTTTAAGTACTTCAACTAATACCTATTCAGAAAATAGCATTGTGATGAAGCTGTATCAGAACAAAGACTTAAATCTTCACTTTCCACATTCCAATGGAGTTAAGAAATATTTTAAGAATTTGTTACTATTTTAGCATTATCAGAAATATAAAACAACACCATGATTTCTAAAACACTGTAAGAGTTTGATAAGTATCCTCTAATAATAATAAGCCAAAATAATCTAGTTTCTTTTTAAACACACCACATTAGCAGATTATTGGAAGTTGTCATTATTCAGTATTTCTCTGCCATAATATTTGCACTATATTTTATAATAAAAAGTGGTAAATTATGACAAAGAACAGAAGTACCAAACTTGTGATCACTGTTTTAGTCATTAAATTTATGGTTAGCGTAGGTATCTCTAAAATCCCATTTAGGAAAAAAAAAAGAAAACCAAATCATTAAGATGTTCAATTTTCCAAGTTTCACTAAAGCGAAGAGAAAAATGAATACAGGTAAGTTTCAAAAGAAGTTATATGCCTAATTTTCTTCGTACATAGAGCCAGAGACATCTTATAACTGTTCTAAATATATTTCACCAGGCAAATAAAAAACAATCACTCTGGTATTGCGAACAAGCAAGCACTTGACAAATGTTTCCTTAAAGGTAAAATAGGATTGTCTTATATTGACCAAAAATTAATATTATAAAATAATGGACATATTAAAATAATTTCCTATTTTTCTTATATTAAATAAAATTAACAACATTATTGCATGATATACTGAAACAACATAAGAAAGAACAAGTTTATTTCAACCCATAACTTCCTAACTTTGCATAACTCAAACATTAATACACTTCTTTAAGTGAGGGTTTCTTAGATACATTACCATGACTGCTCTTGAGGTACATTCCAGTATAACTTATCCAAAAATAAATCGCTAACCCTACCTTACAGACATTCTACCAACATTTCCCTTTCTTTGCAAAAACATTTCAACTGCTGCAGAATAAACTTACCAGGTAAAAAAATAATTAGTTTGAATGGTTAGTGGAAGCTAATGTATTTTGGTCAGATATTTAAATTACAGAAAGAAATTTAAAAATTTTCAATAACCATGCAGACTTAACAACCAGAAATATAATTTGAAATTTACTTTCTAATGTAGGGTATTTATTTTTTTTAAGCAATTGAATGCTGGTGATTTTTACTTTTTAACTGTGTAACTATAAACACAAAGTGCTTCATTTTCTCTGTTTTATTTGATTTAAAGCATTAAATTGAATAATTCTCCTTTTCTAACACTGTACCCCCACTGCAGAAGCGACAGTTTCACTGAAGATTTAAATGAGACCCATTCCCCTTTTCTGACCTGTTTTTCTATGTGTTGCCATTTCTAGACAATTCTACTAGTAAACATCTGCTATTTTTGCAGGCTTCGTATAATACAAACAGATGTGAGCTTTTATTTAGCTTATATATCAGGAAACAAGCAGCTGTGCTTTATTACATAAGCCACTCAATATTATCTTTGAACAGACAATTCTTTATTCTTTGACTATTAGAAAACATAAGTTCCCAAAGCTACAGCAGATGTTTGCTACACTAAAAGCTCCATTTGAAAACCTAACCTGGAGGGAGCTGGTCCATTGGCACAGTGGGTGTTCAGAGCACCCTACCAGTGAGATCCTGAATCCAGAGAGTTTCACTCCCTGGCATCTCTTGGACTCTTGAGTGCTGAACGGGAACTGCACTCTTAGAGCTCAGCTCAGATCTCACATCACCACAAATTTGCTACTTGAGTCTCACAAAATCTCTGCTTATCTTTCTTAAAATATATGATCTGGGTGAGGGCACTGAGTGCACCCTCAGTAAGTTTGCAGGTGATACCAAGTTGGGTGGCAATGTTGATCTGCCAAAGAGTAGGAAAGCTCTGCAGAGGGACCTGGGCCGGCTGGATCCATGGGCTGAGGCGAATGGCATGAAGTTGAACAATGTCAAGTGCCAGGTCCTGCACCTGGGTCACACCAACCCCATGCAATGCTACAGGCTAGAGGAGGAGTGGCTGGAGAGCTGTCCTGCAGAAAAGGACCTGGGGGTGTTGGTCAACAGCAGCTGAACAGGAGCGAGCAGAGTGCTCAGGTGGCCAAGGAGGCCAAGGGCATCCTGGTCTGGATCAGTAATAGCATGGTCAGTAGGAGCAGGGAAGTGACTGTCTCCCTGCACTGGGCACTGGTGAGGCCGCAGCTCGAGTGCTGGGTTCAGTTTTAGCCCCAACAATACAAGAGGGACATTGAGGCTCTGGAACATGTCCAAAGAAGGGCAACAAAGCTGGTGAAGGGCTTGGAGAACAAGTCTTACGGGGAGCGGCTGAGGGAACTGGGGTTGTTTAGGCTGGAGAAGAGGAGGCTGAAGGGAGACCTTCTCACTCTCTTCAATTACCTGAAGGAAGGTTGTAGAGAAGTGGGGGTTGTTCTCTTCTCTTGGGTAACAGGTGACAGGAGAGGAAATTGCTACCAGCTGCACCAGGAGAGGTTTACGTTAGATATTAGGAAAAAATTATTCTCAGAAAGGGCAGTCAAACATTGAAACAAGCTGCCCAGGGAAGTGGTGGAGTCTCCATCCCTAGCAGTATTTAAGACAGGTAGATGAGGTGCTTAGGGACATGGTTTAGAGATGGGATTAGTAGTAATAGGTTAATGGTTGGACTCAATGATCTTAAAGGTCTTTTCCAACCACTATTATACTATGATTCTATATTCAAAACTTTCTGTGACCTCAGATTGATTATAATCACTGTTTTCACCCTCTAATCACAAAAGGTCTTTTGGCTTTTCTTTTAATTCCAGTTACCACCATCAGATCAGGTGCACGTCAGAGGGATGATGGGTGAGCAGGTACTGAAATTGGTTATGAAAGTACCTAAAATATTTTAAAATACATTATTCTTATTTTAACAATGTAGGAAAAAAGTAATGCTTTTTTTTTTTCATAGAATGTAATAACCATTTGCTACCAATCTTGTTCTCCTCAGATGTTACCATTGTACAAACAAATAAATAAATGGATATGGAAAATGCAGCTCTGTGTAATCAAACAGACACTGTCCCCTGCCCCTTCCACCTTTCCCTTTGTCTTTCAGTGGTTTTGCCATCTTTCAGGATGACTTACACATCAAGGAAGTCAAGTAATTTTATTAGTTAGTATGTCATTAGTGGGGAATGGAAAGGAAGGCTGTCACATATTCTTTCTAATACCACTTGAATGTCCTATATTATTCGGGAAAAAAAAGGGAGTAACTTCACGTGATCCCCAAAGCACAGGATTGCCATTTAGTTTGTAATTAAGCATGCAATACAAGAATGAGGAAAGAAAGGTTCTTCCTCTTTCCTTCTCTCCTACTCAGGCACACAAAACCAAAGGACAGGCAACGTTTTCCTTATTTTGTGAGAACGCATATTTTTCCTTTATGATTTCCAGAGGAGGACTGAATCTTTTACAGTTGTATGTAATGCTCAAAACTGGGGGACAAAGGGGAAAGGGTAGTGAGGGTCCTGACCACAACCAGATTCAAGAGCTAGGCTCCTCAAGAGACAAGCAGAAGCAGAGAACCAAGTGCAGCTTCTCCTTAAAGAAGCAATTACGCTGTTTACAGCAGTGGATCCCAATGCAGCTGAGAGAGCTGTGAGCCACTGACTTGCACAAGAGCAAGAGTGTGTTCCCAGTGAGAGAGGAGAAGCTCATACCAGAGTCTGCTCTTGATAACTGCCAAGGTCTCCTGGTGCCTGGCTCCAAGCTACTCTTGTTTTCTGAGCTCAGCAGAATCTGCATGACTTCAGAGGCAGAGCCTCATGGTTCCTGCTAAGGAGCCACCTCTCATTGCTAGAAGTTTCAGAAGGATGTGGCCTCTGTAACAAGCAATAGGTCTTAAGACAATCTGTTCCATTTGGGATGCCTACAAGAACTCAACAGAAGTAGCAGCTGCTCAGTATCATGCTCACTTTGAGCAGATCATAGAATCATAGATTCATAGAATCCCAGACTGGTTTGCGTTGGAAGGGACCTTAAAGCTCATCCAGTTCCAACCCCCCTGCCAGCAGCAGGGACACCTTCCACTAGACCAGGTTGCTCAAAGCCTCATCCAACCTGGCCTTCA